TGCACTATGTTGCATCACATACTGTATTCACCTTAGCATGTAGATATAGAGAGACCATATTCATATTATCAGTCACACTTGGCATATTTTACCTGTGCTGAACTTAACTGTTGAACCTAGAAGCATGTCTACTTTTTTGCATTGCTAATTTTTGTATTTTACTGTTTTGTCTGAGCTCGTCACTGCTTTTAGACCACAGACTAGACTTGTTACTTATTGAGTTGCTTGTACTCATGCTGCACCCTGCACTTCGTGTGCAGATCCAGGTGTTTCCGGGCACAGCAATTGTTGAATCCTGACATTTCACCAGTTCGGGAATCATCGAGGTAGCTGCCTTGGTGTCCGCAAATCTTAACTCTCCTCCTATATCTTTTAGTCTTGTTTTTACTATTTTACTTTCCGAGGCAGTGTCCTATTGGTTAGACTGTGTCGATGTGTAGATGCTCATGTACTCCGTGACACCCAGATCTTTTGGGAGAATTTTGTGTTGAGTTTCGAGGTTCATATCCTATTTTTATGAAATCTTAATTATTTAAACTTATTTCCACATATTTTATCTTTAAAAAATGTTGGTATGTGTGAGATGTCATCTTACCTAGTACTATGATAGGCGTCATCACGACAGGTCGAGTTTTGGATCGTGACAAGTTGGTATCAAAGCCTATGTTACATAGGTCTCACGAGTCATGAGCAGGTTTAGTCGAGTCTTGCGAATCGGTACGGAGACGTCTGTACTTATCTTCGAGAGGCTGCCGAACCCTTAGGAAAAACTACACATTCTTGAATTAGGCTTTAAATGACAAAAGTTGGAATTAAGAAGTTTGAGCGAGAGTGGATTTTATGTTTACCGGGCTCGGATTGGAGTTCCGAGAGTTGGAGTAGGTCCGTGGTGTCATTTGTGACTTGTCAATCAATCAGACGTGATTTGATAGGTTTCAGCATCGAATATAGAAGTTAGAAGTTTAAAAGTTCATTAGGCTTGAATCGATGCGTGATTCGTGGTTTTAGCATTGTTTGATGTGATGTGAAGACTCGACTAAGTTTGTATCGTATTTTAGAACTTGTTGGTATGTTTGGTTGACGTTCGGGGGCCTCGAGGGTGATTCGGATTGAAATCAGATTGGATTTTGGAGTTTTGGAGGAGCTGGTAAGGTCAAGTCTGGTGCAACCGTACCTGCGAGGGGTAGGCCGCAGGTGCGGAGACGCAGAAGCGGCCATGGGGTCGCAGATGCGATTTATGGTGAGTGGAGGTAGTTGCGCAGGTGCGAGGGAAAATACCGCACCTACGATCACGCAGATGTGGGTGGCTTGTCGCAGAAGCGGAAAAGGACTTGGGGAGGTTGGTCCGCAGAAGCGGAGGGATTTGCGCATAAGCGCACGCGCAAGAGCGGAATTTGGCACCGCAGAAGCGGGATGTCTAAACCTTAAGTGACCTCCGCAGATGCGGATCTGAAACCGTAAAAGCGGTGCTGCAGATGCAGCTAAATAGACCGCAGAAGTGGAACCACTGTACTGCATATTAAAACGAGAGTTCCGCAGTTTTCCTTATTTTGAAAATTTCAAGCTCGGGATTAGGCAACTTTTGAAAGGATTTTCGAGAGGTAAGTCACTTGTCGTTAAATTTATTTAATAATTATATTTCCACATTGATTTTCCTGCCTAGACTCTTTGGTTTTTAGGTATAATTTTGGAGTTTGAGGCTAGGGATTTGGAGAGTTTAAATTGGGGATTTGGGTGTCGATTTGGTATTAGATTTTGGTGAATTTAGTATGGTTGGGCTCTAGGTTGAATGGGCTTTCGGATTTTGTGACTTTTATTAGATTCTGAGATGTGGGCTCGGGGGCCGGTTTTTGAATTGACTTTTTGAATTTGATTCAGAACTTAGTATTTTCTTATGGAACTGATTCCTTTAGCTCGTGTTGATTGTATCGAACTGTTTGTGGCTAGATTCGGGGCATTCGGAGGTTGTTTCGCGAGGCAAGGGCATGTTGGAGTAGAGATTACATGGTTTGAGGTAAGTAACACTTCTAAACTTGGTGCTGAGGGTATGGAACCCCGAATTACGTATTATATGATTGATGTCGAGGTGACGCGTATGCTAGGTGACGGGCGTGTGGGCGTGCACCGCAGAAATGGTGATTTAGCCGTTTCCATGGAACTGTGTAGCTATCTTATCTGAACATTTTAGTGTACATTATGTGTTAGAGCACTTGAGCTATAAATTATGTTAGAAATCATGCTTAGGCTATTTGCTGGCACTATGGGACCCATAGTGGTCGTTCTTTGCTGTTGAGTTATTTGTTTAATTACAGTTATGTACTCCATCGTATTCATCATTTCATATCATATCTCATTCTCTGTTATTGTATATTGTCACATCTCGTATCATTGAGTAGGGTTGCTTAGTATGAGTGTTGTGAGCCCGAGAGACTAGAGAGATTTAGTGACTGAGTTAGGGCTTGTGCGACGTACTGTGAGATATGTATATATATACATACACACATATATATATATGTATGTATGTATGTGTGTATATATATATATATATATATATACATACATACATACATACATACATATATATATGTGTGTGTTGCGGGGGGGGGGGGAGGGGATCAAATGTATCGCCGCAACGAGCCTTAGGCTATATATATGCGGATCGGGTTGCACGTCGCAACAAGCCTTAAGGCTATATATGTGGATTGGGTTGCACGCCGTAACGAGCCTTAGCGCTATATATGTGTGGATCGGGTTGCACGCCACAACGAGGCTTATGGATATATATATATATATATATTCATATAATGTAGTATCATATGTGGATGTGTAGTGTAGGAGGGGGAATGGCGGCGCACCGGGGGTGGCGTGGGATTTGGGGGGGTGGAATGGGTTGCACGCTACAACGAGCCTTATAGCTATACATAGTGCTGAGTGACTGAGTGTGGCGAGCGAGGATTGAGACGGGCAGATTGAGCGCTCTGAGAGAGTGAGTTCTTGGTATTACACTGTGTTGCATCACATGCGGTATTCACCTTGGCATGTTGATATAGAGATGTCATATTCATATTATCAGTCACACTTCGCCTATTTTACCTGTGCTGGACTTAATTGTTGAACCTGGAAGCATTTCTACTTTTCTGCATTGCTAATTTTTGTATTTTTACTGTTTTCTTTGAACTCGTCACTGCTTTCATACCACAAGTTAGACTTGTTACTTATTGAGTTGGTTGTACTCACGCTACACCCTGCACTTCGTGTGCAGATCCAGGTAATTCCAGGCACGACGGTTGCTGATTCCTGACATTTCATCAGTGTAGAGATCATCGAGGTAGCTGCCTTGGCGTCCTTAGACCTTGACTCTCATCTTATATCTTTTAGTTTTGTTTTTACTGTTCTACTTTCCTAGGTAGTGTCCTATTGGTTAGACTGTGTTGATGTGTAGATGCTCATGTACTCCGTGACACCCATATCTTTTGGGAGAATTTTGTATTGAGTTTCAAGATTCATATCCGGTTTTTATGAAATTCTTAATTATTTAAACTTATTTCCACATATTTTAGCTTTAAAAAATGTTGGTATGTGTGAGATGTCGGCTTGGCTAGTACTATGATAGGCGCAATCACGGCATCGAGTTTTGGGTCGTGACACTGTACTATCTGTGAGCCATCCATTGTGCCTAAAATGCTGACATAGTCGAACATATGCATCGCGTGACATATACATTAATTCTATACATTACCGACTAGTGCCCGATAGTAGTTCTAATCTATATTTTTTACCAGATAAAGATGATGTTAAATCTTTATTTCTTTGATCGTACTCCAGTCTGTAACTGTTTCTATGCCAATATAAGCACACCAACAATAATATTTGATTGTTGATATCCATGCCCAATCTGTTTTAACAAAGAGAAATACAATAAACAATAGTAAACATAATATGGTATATATTTTACAATAAATAATTACAAAAATTTATTTTGTACTCATCAAACATAACAAGACACCAAAACGAGTATTTCACAAACATAAATGCCCTTAATAGGCTGAGGTCTGGATCACTCAGATTCAGACCCCTATTATGTGCAAACAAATGAGGCCTAAAAAGATTTGAAAAACTACCAGCAATGTCCATTTATAAGTAGCTTATTACAAAAATTGACCAATTCATAAAATATTAGTCAATTAGCTATTTGTAGCCAAAAATAAGGTTTAATTTTTTCTTTCTTTTGAGTGAGTGTTATTAGAATAGATTGAGTACATCTTAAGGAGTTTGAATCTCAGTTTTGGGATGATTTGTTGGAGTATTGAGGTAGTTTGAATTGAAAATTCGAAATAGAAGATAAACATGAAAAGTAATAATATGTGTACCACATATGTATCATATTCGTATCAAATATGTATCACATGTATACCCATGTATATCTGTATATGTGATACATGTTTGATACATGTGTCGCAAAAGAATTTTTTCGAACTCTATTTTAATTACGAATTTTGATACCAAATCAGCCCAAATCACCTCCAATTTTCCTCAAATTTTGTATATTGACTCATCTATATGTTTTCAATGAATTTCAACCATACCCATTGAAAAAGGTCATTTTTGCTTATATTTTTGAAATCTTTTATATATATATATATATATATATATATATATATATATATATTTCACCACCTTATTTGCTACCTCATGCAGGAAATTTCTTTCCGTCTTGCATGTAATGTTGCTGATCACTTTAAAAATATGGAAGGAGATCTTTGTATGTGATTTTTGGAGACCAAACCTTATTTATTTGGGCTTTTAATTTTTATATGTGTTTGTATAGTTTTTATAGACTATGATTAATTGTTAGAGGTTGGTAAGTGAGGGCTTATTTGGAACATTTACGTAAGAAATGAGAAGTGAAATAAAATAGACTATCTCGTGGGGGTGAAATTGCTTAGTCCAGCTTTTGTAGGGACCACTTAGAAAATTCAGTGGTAAGACAAAAAGAAACAGTTTCGTCGAGCAAAAACCCTAGTATCCATTCTAGTTCGCTTCTCATTCTTCACTGTGGCGCTGAGACGATATCTGCTTCAGCCCAAGCCTTTTTCGTCATATGTTGTCTTCCCATTCAATTTAAGCAAATCAAGGTAAACTCTTTTCTCTATTTGTCTCTTTTTTCTGTATTTTTCTCAATTCCTGAACTACATTTGTTAGGAATAGTTCTCTAAATTCAGATGGGTCATTTTGCTTTTCTTTCAATTTCCTAATACCCTTAAATCCTCTACTAAAAAGAAAAATCATAAAGCCTCGGTCTTGAGTGGGTTCATTGATAAGTTACTTTTATTTTTATTGTTTATCTTGGTGTTTTTAAAATAAGTATTTCGTTATCCTAATAATTTGAGTAGTTTGCCTTTCTGAAACAATGGCGCAGTTGAATTTCATCTGTTGCATCCGTAGAAAGACCTTACATTTGCTTTTTTTTTTTTTTGGGGGTTAATAGCACTTCTGATTTCTGGTCCTTGTGAAATCTGACTAAGCACATTTAACCTTCAATTAATTGAAATATGCACCTTTGATCCATCTTGTGAATATTTAGAAATTGACCATAACTATTAACATTTCCATCACTTAATTACCCATGTGTTACGTTAAACTTGTACTGCCATATTTGACGCTAATATGGTTCTAAAAATAGTCTAAATGTGACATATTTCCTAATGAAAGGGAGCAAAAAGACATATTTTAATTAATTGAAGGTTAAATGTGTTGAGTCATATTGCAGCCCTATAGTGCAGCCTAATGGTCAATGAAGTGAGTGGAGAACCATGAGGTCTCAGGTTCAAATCCCAGTGGAGGCAAAAACACTATCTTATTTCTTCCTATCTGTCTAAAACATGGTGGACAGAGTTCCCTGTAACTTTGCTGGTTGGAGATAGCATGTACACGGTGGAATTAGTTGAGGTGCGTGCAAGCTGGTCCGTCACCACCTTTTTTGAAAACGTTTAGTCATATTTCTCAAGGACCAAAATCAGAATTTACAAATAACTGAGGGACCAGTATTGCTATTCTCCTTTTTTTTTGAAATTAAAATATAAATAGTTTGAGTGATTTTCCAGTGCAGCTTATGTGAAGTGGCTTGGAAAATTTCTTCTTTTCTAATTACCCATCAAAAAAAAAAAAAAAAATGAAAAAGTGTTTCTTCATTTCCATTTTGCTGATTATGCAGATTCTGTGGGGTTGCTGGTGATAGAGAAGTTATGGCAGAAGAAGGTGACCGAAGTTTTGCCCGAAGGAACAGATTGCGGGAAATAGAAACACAGGTCCATAAGTGGTGGGCAGAAGATGATGTTTTCAGAGCTGATCCTAAAGATTCACCTCCTAGAGTGGGTGAAAAGTTCTATGGGAATTTCCCTTTTCCTTACATGAATGGATATCTACATTTGGGCCATGCATTTTCATTGTCAAAACTTGAGTTTGCTGCAGCATATCACAGATTGAGAGGCGCTACTGTTTTATTACCTTTTGCCTTTCACTGCACTGGGATGCCAATAAAGGCATCTTCAGATAAGCTTTCAAGGGAAATTGCGAAGTTTGGGAACCCTCCTGTGTTTCCTGTAGTGAAGGAAGAGGAGAGTATTGAAACAGATGTGAAGGTTGAGACTGAAGGAAACCAGCCCGCACCAGGTGGAAAATTCAAAGGGAAAAAATCGAAGGCTGTAGCAAAGGCTGGCGGTGATAAGTACCAGTGGCAGATAATGCAGAGCTATGGTCTATCTGACGAGGAGATTGCTAGGTTTAAGGATCCATATTACTGGCTAACCTACTTTCCACCACTGGCTGTGGAGGATCTAAAGGAGTTTGGATTGGGCTGCGATTGGCGGAGAACTTTTATTACAACTGATATGAATCCATACTTTGATTCATTTGTGCGGTGGCAAATGAGGAAACTGAAAACCTTGGGAAAGATTGTTAAAGATCTTAGGTACACCGTATATTCACCCCTAGATGGTCAGCCATGTGCTGATCATGACCGTGCTTCTGGTGAAGGAGTTATTCCACAGGAGTATACTCTTATCAAGATGGAAGTTGTCCCACCTTTTCCACCAAAGATGAGTGTTCTGGAGGGAAAAAAGGTGTACCTTGCGGCAGCTACATTGAGACCAGAGACCATGTATGGGCAAACAAATGCTTGGGTATTGCCAGACGGAAAATATGGGGCTTTTGAGATTAATGATACTGAGGTTTTTGTGGTGACTCATAGGGCAGCACTTAATCTAGCCTATCAAAGGTTGTCTCGTATCCCTGAGAAGCCGACTTGTTTGGTTGAATTGTCTGGTCACGATCTTATAGGTTTGCCCTTGAGGTCTCCCTTGGCATTTAATGAGATAATATACACTCTGCCCATGTTATCTGTTCTTACTGACAAGGGTACTGGAGTTGTAACTAGTGTTCCCAGTGATTCCCCAGATGATTATATGGCCCTCCATGATTTGAAGTCAAAGCCAGCTTTCAGGGCCAAATTTGGTCTGAAGGATGAGTGGGTCTTGCCGTTTGAGATAGTTCCGATTATCAACCATCCAGATTTTGGAGACAAGTCGGCTGAGAGAATATGCATTGAGAAAAAGATTAAGAGCCAGAATGAGAGAGATAAGCTTGATGAGGCCAAAAAAACAATATACAAGGGCGGGTTTTATGAGGGAACCATGATTGTTGGAGAATTTGCTGGCATGAGAGTCCAAGAAGCGAAAGGTCTGATCAGGAGCAAGCTCTTGGAGATGAATCAAGCTGTAGTATATAGTGAACCTGAGAAGAAGGTCATGTCGAGATCCGGGGATGAGTGTGTTGTGGCTTTGACTGATCAGTGGTATCTCACTTATGGAGAATCGGAATGGAGGAAGGCTGCAGAGGACTGTTTAGCCAGTATGAATCTCTACTCTGATGAGACACGGCATGGCTTTGAGCACACTCTCAGCTGGCTTAATCAGTGGGCATGTTCTCGCAATTTTGGCCTTGGAACTCGTATTCCCTGGGATGAGGATTTCCTAGTTGAGTCCTTATCCGATTCCACTATTTACATGGCATATTACACTGTGGCACATCTCTTGCAGAAAGGGGACATGTATGGTACTGATCATTCTTCAGTGAAACCAGAGCAGCTGACAGATGAGGTCTGGGAATTCTTGTTCTGTAATGGGCCTTATCCTGAAAATTCTTCTATATCTTCTTCACTTCTCAAGGAGATGAAGCAGGAATTTGACTACTGGTATCCGTTCGATCTCAGAGTTTCTGGCAAGGATCTTATTCAGAATCATCTTACCTTTTGCATCTATAACCACACTGCCATTTTCCCTAAGCACCATTGGCCACGTGGTTTCCGATGCAATGGGCATATAATGCTCAACTCCGAGAAGATGTCCAAGTCTACTGGAAATTTCCGGACACTGCGGCAAGCAATTGAAGAATTTTCAGCTGATGCCACACGATTTGCTCTTGCAGATGCAGGTGATGGGATGGATGATGCTAACTTTGTCTTTGAAACAGCTAATGCCGCCATCTTACGTCTTACAAAAGAAATAGCATGGATGGAGGAGGTTCTTGCTGCAGAGTCATCTTTAAGAAGTGGGCCACCATCCACATATGCAGACTGCGTATTTGCTAATGAAATAAATTTTGCAGTCAGGACAACAGAGAAAAACTATAGTGAATATATGTTCCGGGAAGCTCTGAAAACTGGATTTTATGATCTTCAGGCTGCTAGAGATGAGTACAGGCTTTCGTGTGGTTCAGGAGGCATGAACCGGAATTTGCTATGGCGATTTATGGATGTTCAAACACGACTTATTGCTCCGATATGCCCACACTATGCTGAATATGCTTGGAGAGAGCTTTTGAAGAAGGATAGCTGTGGCATAAAAGCTGGGTGGCCAGAGGCTGAATTGCCAGATCTTACCCTTAAGAAGGCTAACAAGTATTTGCAAGACACTATTGTCTCAATGAGGAAGCTCCTGCAGAAGCAGGTTTCTGGTTCAAAGAAAGGAAATGTAAATGTGAGTAGCCAAAACAAACCTACTATGGGCCTTATATATGTGGATGAGCAGTACCGTGGATGGAAAAGGGAATGTCTGGAGATTCTGCAGAGGAAATTTGACGCTTCAACCGGCACCTTTGCACCTGACAAAGAAATACTCTCTGAATTGCTGAAGAGTGATTTTGGGCAACAAGGCAATTTCAAGCAAATACAGAAACTCTGTATGCCCTTCTTGAGGTTCAAGAAAGATGAAGTTGTGGTGGTTGGGGTTCAAGCGTTGGATGTGAGGCTTCCTTTTGGCGAGATTGAAGTCCTTGAGAAGAACTCAGACTTGATCAAGAGACAACTTGGTCTTGAGAGATTGGATATATTATCTATGACGGATGATGCTCTGGAGAGAGCTGGGCCTCATGCTGCTGTGGTGAGGCAGAATCCTCCATCACCAGGGGATCCAACTGCAATCTTTCTCTAAGTACAAGAATTTTGCAGCACAAGTGATGATTTGAAACCTAAATGATGTTATAATTTTCTCTTTCTAGGTCTTTTTGTCCCAGAATTCTGCATACATCCAATTATTTTCTGCTGAATTTTCAGTCAAAACTAGCGTTTTATTTGCCGCAATCATGAATATAGAGCTACTGCAACTTTATTTCAACATTAGAACTCATTAACAATTTGACATTTTATATGAACCGAAGACATTTTCCTAGCTGTATTTGCTTATAAAATTTTTCTGCTTATCGCTCAATTATGTCTCTTGCTGCTGCATATTTGTCCAAGTATTGTTGTATTTTACTTCACAGTTTTAGACATTTTCAGATGTAGTTGCTTAAATGATAGAAGAACCAGCTGAAGATAATGTTGAGGAGGATAAAGCAGGGGAGGATAGTGACTCAGATAGAACATATTTGCCTGAAAGCGATGAAGAAAATGACTTTGAATACTCTGCAGATGGTGATAAGCTTACCGACTCAATTGAACCTCTAGAAGAAGCTTTAATAAATCAACTCAACCCAGATGCGGAGAACAATGATGAGCCACAGCCATATATTGAACGACTGATGTCAATAGGATGGACTTTCATGGCTGATAGAGAAAAGGTACATTTTTTTTTAACATAAACTTCTATTTATATTTCCTATAACTACTATTATAATAGTAATTTGCTTTGCAAGATCACAAATTCTGTGTTAGGCATATGTATGCCTATTTCAAACTTGGATGTGGGCTGCAGCTAGATCGTGTACAAATGCAGATTTCGAGAAATTCATGGAGCTAGTCAAGAAAGAAATGCAGAAGCTCATAGATGGTTGTAAATAATTTCATCAAATCAGTGGGAGCATTTTCTACTTTGCCAAAGTGATATGTGTGAAATTTTTAACCATTAGACTCAAGAAGCTAGAGACCAGCCTATACTAGCCATGTTAGAGATCATTCGAAGAAAACCAATGTGTAGAAAGAATGTGAATGAATTAAGAAGCACAATGGATTGGTTTGTATGTCGAGCATGAACCAATTCATACCAGCATCACCACTAAATATATGATATTTATTCATGCTGTATAGGTTAATTTTTCATAATATATCTAATGATAATGAATATTACACGACGTATTTCTGATTTTGATTTTACAAGGCTTAACCACCAAGACTCAATTAACTGAAGTGACAATTCAAAACAAATTGTTGTGGCTGGATTTATTTTTATTTTAATATTTTCATGAATTACATCCAGAAAGACATCTTTGAAAGGGTTGGGAAACAGACGATTTTCTCTGGAGCTAGAAATTGGAAAGTTTGAAGATTTAACCTTTCATTATTGTACAAAACAAGAGTTCCCTTATTGTCTCTATTTTTGATGTGTTTCATCTTGATGTATGCTTATTACATACTAATTTATTCCATAGATTAATTCCATAATTAGGGTTGAATCCTACATTAATTATTTTTGGTTGAATATGCGACTTCAATAATTTCCCGTTGAATTATTTGTTTGATGGAACTAAATAGTTGAATTGTGATATTTACATTGTGAACTTCACAAAGAGAATGAGGTATGTTGGATCAATCGATTGCTTGAAATGATTATTTTTTTCAGCATTAAAATGAACCATTTGATAGGTTATCAATAGTTAACTTCAGTTTGAATATCAAAGCAAATTCCAACATACAAGAAGCATAATCCTGGGAAAGAGAGAATCAGAACATTCCCTTGAGTTCCACAAAAGTAACCCTTCCTCAAAAGGCTCCCCCTCCTCTCCTCCCCACCCCCAAAAAACATAATAAAGGGAAAAGGCCCAAAAAGCACTACTAAAGCAAGAGTTAGGAAACATTCCATACAGATGATTGCAGATTATAATAATACAGCAAATGTTTGCCATTTATATTCTCATGATATGCTTCAACAAGTGCATGGAAACATAAATTTGGTCATTACATAATAATGGCCTAAAAATAATGAATACTTTTTGGAAAAGCAGTGTGTAGTACGTAATCCATCACCTTTCTGTCATGTCAAAATTAGAGCAACTTTTCCCTTCTACACTCACCTTTAAACTTTAAAGTACCCCCACCGTAGCAAGAGCCTACCCCCCCCCCCCCCCACAGACCACCCTGACAATATTATTACTCCTTTTATTCCAAAATAAGTGTCATTTAATTATATTAATCAGTTAATAACAATAATTATAAGAGTTACTTTATGTGTTTCAATTATAAGTGTCACAATTTTTTTTTCAAACTTGTGACTTAACAAGTCGTATATTTGTGTGACTATAAATAATTCAATTAAGGGTAATACTATGAGATTTAAAGTCAATTTGTTACAAAATATATAAAAGTATTTCCTTTTTAGGACTGACTAAAAAGAAAAGAGTTTCTTACATTAGGACAGAGGATACTTTTAATATGATTTTAATGGTGCAAATAAGTATGGAAAGACTTTAAAAATTACATAAAATGTTATTAGGATAACGTTAAATTCAAAAAATAATAACAAATACCTTCTTATTATGTTTTAGAAAAAAATTAGACGTATTTTAGACAAAACATAAAAGGCTAAAAGATGCTCATGTTGAATCAGGTGAAATATATACATTTTATATGTACGCATGTGTGTGTATATATATATATATATTCTTATACATTTATTTGTGGGATATTGCTTTTAAACCACATGGCTGAAGGCGCGTAAGAGAAGCTCAAAAGCATAAAAATGAGCCACCCCTTTTGAGTAGATAATGCCATATTTTGCTTTTAATAGTGCTTTATGCATAGAATGCTTTACTTTAACCAAAAAGAAAAAGGTTATAGAAAAAAGAACAAACAAATTACTTCTATTACTATATAGGAGGCTTTAATTTCGTTTTAAAGTTTTGTGAATTGTGATCACTCATCATATCTTTTTGAAAAGAAAAAAAAATAAAAAAACAGTACTGAGAAATTAGGATTGATGCTGAAAGATCTAGACTTAGATTAGTAATCACTAATCAGGAAAGCCCCAGGCCTTAGGTGATTAGCTCATGATGCTGCAAATTTGATTGTTACCACGAGTAGAATTAACTTATGTATATTGACAGTGTAAAATAACTATTACTATTACTTAATATATTTTAATTTGTTGCAATAAATTATTTGACTTATTTTTTGAGTTACTAATCTTACCTACTGTAATTCTTTGGATCAGTTGCATAATGTAAGTTGTGCCATATTAAGCAATCTGTGTAAGTGAGATTTTCATTAATTAAGGGCATTTCTTTTTCTTGAATTGCTAGGTAATAGCAAGTTCTACAAAATACAGTTACATATAAAATTGAAGTGATAACATTTCTATTATAAAATTTCAAATAGAGTAACTATTATGGAGGTTGCATGACTATTGAATTAGTAAAAGTGATTTTCTCAGAAGTATTTAAAAGTTGAAACTCTCCAGTTGAAGCCTACAAATAAGCAAGATTACTATGTTTAACTCTTACTACTATTTCTGATCATGTGTAAAACTTTATATTCATTATATAGTTCAAAAAGAGTAGTGTGAATTCCGAGTTTAATATCACCTTAATATGAAGTATGGAGGAAAAAGAAAAACCTATTGGGGTCCCAGATAGCCTAAATTAACTTAAATTAATACTACTACTGCTATTACTACTTTTTAACAGTTGTGGGTTAGAGAAAAGAGAGAGGATTGTAGAAACCTTTGTATGGGTGATATTTGTTTGTGTATGTTAAACTAAAAGGAAAAAAAACAAAAAAAGAAGAGTTCCTTTCTTTCATTCAAACACTACTTTTGATGGCTTCCAAAAGAATGCTCTATCTTTACGTACTTTCAATCAAAACAATCTTCGTATGTCTTTTAAGGCAACCAAAGATGGGGGAGATAAACTTTTTTGACTAGCATGCTAAGTTATTCTTAAAAGAAGAGATAAATATTTTCACGATGTCCCAATAAGATTCTTTACTGTAAATAGAAATATACCTTATTTAGGGTTCCCCTATTATATAAAGGGGACCCCAATCATTTGTAACGATGATGAATTGTTGGCAAAGACTATACTTTCTCGCTCATTGTTCATCAGAATTGTTCTTTAACTTTATTATTCTTGCTTAACTGTTCTTGGTTCACCTCGAGGTCGAGACTGGCTTACATACTGGTTTGATTTTACTTATTTCTTTCATTTATATTTCAGGTTTCTTGGTTATTAATTAGTATTGAACTAAATCGCGTATCTTTAAAACCATAAATCAAGTTTAATTGTTACTCGTATTTTCGAGGTAAACAGTTTGGCGCCCACAGTGGGGCTAAAGATAATAGTGATTATTCAGTACTGATTCTGATAATACACGTTATTTTCACACTTGTTCTTGTCAAGAATTTTTGTTCTCAGGATTAAACATGTCAAACTCGCAAAATGCACCTGTTCACGACAACAATGGTCTTGGATTTCATGGGAAAAACAACAATGTAGGGATCGGTGTACCACCGATAAACCCTGGGGAAGTGCCAAATGTGGAACCAGTTGATGTTAGTTTATATTGCTTTGAATGCGGATCTAGGCGCAGACCCCGGAGGTAATGTACGCAGGGAAGCCGATCTGGGGCCAAGGAACACAGGGTATAGGAGATGGGGGAGTCAGCCTCCAAGTAATATTCGAGATGATTTTTCTACAAGCTCAACAGATTTCCATCGCTCAACTTCAAAGTCAGAATAAAACTCCAAGTACGGTCGAACCAGAAAACACTCGACGTACTGAGCTGATGCAGAGAGATCAAATGGTAATGGCTCGGGGACTGACCCCACAATTATGAGGATGCTCCAGGAACTCACCAAGAGAATCGAGTCCGGGGAAAAGAAGATTGAGGATATTGACAAAAAAGTGGAGACTTATAAATCCCGTGTTGATCAAATACCGGGGGCACCCCCGGTCTTGAAAGGTTTGGATGCCAAAAAGTTTATACAAAAGCCGTTCCCTCCTAGTGCGGCTCCGAAGCCCATTCCTAAAAAGTTTTGCATGCCCCATATACCTAAATACAACGGAACAACCGATCCTAACGAACATATTACCTCATATACTTGCGGGATTAAAGGAAACTACTTGAATGATGATGAGATCGAATTAGTATTGTTGAAAAAAATTTGGGGAAACTTTGTCTAAGGGAGCCATAATTTGGTATCACAACTTGCCCCCGAACTCTATCGATTCGTTTGCTATGTTAGCAGACGCCTTCGTGAAAGCACACGCTGGGGCCATA